CCTTGGGCGACGGATATGCTTATAGATGTCTAACTAGCACTAGATGTATAGCATATTACAGCTCACTTCAATTTTCTGACACGATGAAGTCCTTTTTTTTGTTTAGTGAATCGAGCTCTTATTCATGATGTTAGTATGAGAGCTGTCACCAAAGTGGTACTGATAAGTTAGTCAGCCTTTGTAAAAGAACATTTGGAACTAGATACATTTTTTTTAAATTCCAGTACGACTGGACAACCTGAGAAATAGTAGTTTGAAGTCGCGATCTTTTTCTTTTTTAATATTTCAAAGATCTGTAGCGCATTGTCAGCCAAAGCACCAGTACGTAATTGCTTCGTCGTCCCTGATTCCATTAGTAACGATGTTCGTTCGTCTCCTAATTGAAACTTCGCTATGTTGCCGAGCCTTTTACGTTTTAGCACTCGCAGGATTGAACAATGCCATAGTTACAAATTTTTCTGGCGCATATTTCATAAGTCGTCATGAGCATGCATCCTTCATGTAGTTTCAGACAGATCCCATCCCAGCCTCATGCAGCCCTAATTAGAGGTCAATGTCCATTAAGTAATTCCGCATTGAAAAACATACAGCCGATGTAAAAAAAGTTCTTAAACTAGTAGCCCTTTATTGTAAATGTTATTAAAAAATTAAATTAGCGTCATGACACAATTCGCATAACGTTTTCAACAGCACCAGATGAACCTCCTGGAATCTTTCGCAACCTGGTAACATTGCAACGTTCGACCTTGAACTTGCTACGGAACTGAAGTAAAGCGACTAAATAACATGGATTCAGGCGGGCATATGTCCAAAAACACATACATGTATCCCTCAATCGACAAGGAGGTTAATATGGATAAGGCGTGCGATTTTTTTTCGTTCATTCGAGATGATTATAGACAATCGACATGACAAACGGTTTGTGCTTCGGTGAACGGATGCAAGAAGTACCAGTTTAGGACCGGTAGAATGAGGAGATACCCTCCTCGAACTTCTTGCGTTATATTTCCTTTTCTTATTTTTGGCCAACGTGTTTCCAAATGCTCCTGCTTTTCCAAACGTAACCTCACAGCTAACGCGGTAGGTGCTTTCGTATTTTCACAACAATGCACAGTCATATACGCGGCACGCTGCATCGGTACGCTAAGAGACCTTTTGCTCGCGCCAAAAAAAGCTTTCTTTTTTTTATTGTTGTGAAGTACTGGTTCCCACACTTTACATCATTATACCAGCTTGCTTTAGTTTTATGCCTTCGGCCTTTTATCCTAACGGGTTTTGCAAGCATGTACGAAAAAGGGAGGAAAAGAAGGAAAAGAAGGAAAAGAAGGAAACTTCATAATAATAAAAAATACTCAGCAGCAACGCGCCGTCTTCTCCACAGCACTTAGTACTATCTTGCAGTGTTGTTCTTGTGTGGTATGAATCATCAGCCTACGCAGAAACAGCTCCGTTACAAGTTTTACTACTATTTTTAAGGATAATTAATGGTTCTGATATGCTATGTTAGATGCAGCAACCATACCAGTTTGCACCACCTTCGGAATCGTAGACTATTCTTCCTACTTGACAGCAATACACAGGTACACAACAAAAGAGTATAATGCCGCCAAACAAAGCAAAAATGTAAGAGCTTTCTCCGGCCAGGCGCGGATATTATAATAGTAGAAAAGTGATCCTTAAAATTTCTATGGTTCAGACCACTGCAAATAAAGTACTTTACATTGTTTTGTTTTAAGCTAATCCTGTCGAAGCAGCGTTTTTCACGATGATGAATCTGTTTGTCCGTCTACCAGAATCACAACCTGGATAGAAACACAATTCAAATGTAAAACTCAGTGGTTTGTGCAGCGGCTTCAGTAGGTAGCACGCAGCGTCCAAGATTGCATGCACTGGCTTAGTTATTGGTCAATGTTGGTGTCATCCGAAAGCCGATAGCGCACAAATCTACTGCACGTATATAGAAGCACTGCTTATCAACGCGTTTTAAATATCAAAACGTTGCTCGAATCTGCTGTGCTAACATAATTGGATTTTACCGGCTTTAGGTACCGACTTCAACGCATTAATCTGGGCTATCCCAGTAGCAACTATTTTCCCGGAAAAAAAGTATTACGAGCATGACAGATTAAGCACGGTATGCGTCTGCAATACTACGTGCGTGTCGAGGAGGAATGCGTCGTGATATGATATATTTAAGGATATGCATGGACGCTAACCCAGCGAGTAGTCTCGCTTTGCGTTAATAATCGTTTTACGGCCTAGTACGTAAATCAATGTAGCGCTGTAGTATAAGAGTATGAAACCGGGATCGTATCCGGATCTGTTAATGTATCGAAAACGATAGCTACAACAACAACAGCGCGGCCCAGGTGCATACAAACACATCAGATAGACAGAGCCCAGAAATAAAAATCAATGCGATCATGTTTGGTTTTCCCTCTGCAGCTCGATACCTCGTAAAAATCCATGAGAATGTGACAAAATATTGGTGGATTTGCTTGATATTTGTATTGCCTGCAAGTGCGTGAAAGAAACAACACACGGACATGACTTAATCCCAGTTGGGCTGTACGTTTTCTTCGTACCGAGCACTACCAGTGTAACCGTGTCAGCATCTCACTCTATAATATCATAACGTTAGACCTGTTTTAGACGTTTGTTCTGGAATTCAAGGATTGCATAATATTAGATGCGAGCTCGCTGCACCGCAAAGTGGGGCAGCAACGCACACAAATATAAGGCCTTTTGTTTCTTTAGGAAGTTTTTAATGAAGTAAGCACACCTGATTGTAGGCTGCCGATTTGCCTTCACCGATTCTTCACTGATACATAGTGAATCTTCACTCAGCGCCGGTAGAACTCCAGAACACGTATGCTACAGTTAACACTCTAAACCGATGTAGAGCAACAATAACATGACCCAGTCTTGCTATGTTAGAAAAACAGTGGCTAAGACACGTAATAATTTATCGTACTTCCATCCATTTCTTTATGTCCTCTGTTGGATGAACTTGTAACTTGTAGTGAAGCATGGTGTAACTCTGTGTAACTTACTGGATGGGCCGCTCCTGTCCGTCAAACACTCGAAATTCGATAACCTGCAGGACTTAGAAGAGGCGTCCAGGTTGCTGCGCGATAATCATTCCGCACCGTATTGGTATGAGAGTTCAATTTTCGATACGTTCATATCGAACACAAAGCCTCTGGCTCTGACATGGTAGTTGAGATCATCACATACTAATGTAATGATAAACGTGTTCGCGCAACTAATTGCACCTGCGCTAGTCTCAGTCGTGCTATTCGACGGCGTCACATACTAATTGATACAAAAAAAGATTCAACTTGAGAGAAAAGAAATTGTTTCGGGACTCCTGAAAGAAATCACCGAGATCAAATAACGTCGCTAATGTACTCATATACTTAAATAAAAGCACCATTGGTCATAGAAAACAGAACATCTAAACAACTATACTGTTTTGTTTCAAAATAGTAGAATTCCGGCTCCAGTTCACTTCACCTTGCATCTTGCTAACAATAAACGAAAGCTTGTTACAAGTTAATAGTGCAGTACGTCGGCTCAGCGCTACCAAATTCCCCGACGGCGAGGCGTACTGGACGGTCTTGCTGTAGAACTTGCAAAACCAGAAGAAGGGGCATCGGAAACGGAGTAAGACGGCTTCAATGTCCAGCGGCGCCCTCGACATACAGCCATATCACGCAGCACATGTCGAAAAACGAGCTTGTCCTTGGGTGCAACGATACTAGCAAAACTTTCTAGTAGCCTTTCAGTCGTAACACCCGCCGGATTCGATACAAGGAACGTGTGTAAACTCCTCGTCATCTCACTCGCACTTAGAGTAGTAGGAACAGGCGACTGAGAGGGGCCCGAAGCGCCAGCACGAGGTTGGACTCGAGTCGCCTGCACTATGACCCCATCTCGTCTCTGCTTGATTCTTGCCAGCATATCACGTGATGACATCCCTCCTCTGCCTCTCCCTCGACCTCGAGTTGGAGGCTGTCGACGTTGAGAAGGATCTCCAGCAGCACCGGAGCGACCTGTCCATGTGGGAGTGTAGATAGTTTCGCGTTGCTGTCTCACAAGAGCACCTGACGCTCGTAGCGCACTCAACGCTCCTTTAGCGACTTTAGTAGCCTCCATCTCTACCAGATCTGCTTCTTGATTCTGTACACCATCAGATTCCACTGCTGAATGATCAAAAACTCCACGCACATCACCGCCATCAAACAATTGCTTCAATACGGCGTCGTTGTCTCCAGTCGTGTCTTCTGCGCCCTCTTCCTCTCCGTCTTCCAGTTCCGCGGGTCTATTAACGTTTCCAGCTACAAACAGTTCATTTGTCTCTGCAACGTTGTCCTCTTTCTCGTCCGCTAGTACGAACAGATCTCGTAAGGAATGTTTGTTAAAGCAGCGCTTACGCTTGGCATCGTGCAGTACTTTACTCGTGAGATACTGCTTGAAAATCTGTCGGTGGTAGATTTTCTCCTCGATCGTTCCAGCGGTGACGAGTCTGTACACCGTCACTGGTTTCTGCTGGCCAATACGCCACGCCCGCTCTCGAGCTTGCACATCTGTGGAGGGATTCCAATCAGGATCAAACACCACAACTCTATCAGCACCAACCAAGTTGACGCCGATCCCTCCAGCGCGCGTTGTCAATAGAAACGCAAAGAGATTACTATCCGGAGCATTGAAGGCGTCTAGCCGCTGCTGTCGTTCTGCAACACCCGTTGTACCATCTAGTCGAGTACAAGTGTGGCCCAGTCTGGACATGAAACTCTCTAGAATATCCAACATACTGCGAGTCTGCGTGAAGATGAGAACGCGATGCCCTTGCTCCTTCCAGAGTGTCAATACCTTCTGCAACACCATCATCTTCCCACTAGCCGACACAGCACCAAACGGTTCGTCACTTTCTCCTTCTTCTTTTTCATCCACTTCATCCAGTAGACCAGCGATGTTAGCGAACTCTTCCACTTCATCATCATAGGTCTGTCTCTTCTTATCAGCCAGTCCTCCGTCACCAAACGTAGCCAACAGGTCTGGATGGTTGCAAATATGTCGCAGTACAGAGATGGCTCGGAACGGACGGATATCTCGACGCAGTACGGACGCCACCTCGGGCGACGCTAAGAAGCGCTTGTACAGTGCACGTTGTCGCTGCGTCAGTCGACAGAAGATGATCTGCTCTTGTTTACCAGGCAGCATCTTGTTGTCAGCGTCATTCGTTAACACTTCTTGCTTGGTTCGTCGCAGTAGAAATGGCTGGATTAAATCTTTCAATGCCAACGCACACTTATATGCCATCAGCACTTGCATCTTCGTCGCAGTGGCGTATCCTCCAGCACGAATGGGCAGTACAAACTCGTCGTCAAACGTTGGTAGTGTACCGAGACGTCCTGGATACACAAAGTCGAACAAAGACCACAGCTCTCGAAGCCTGTTCTGGATCGGTGTACCCGACAGGATAATGCGGTGTACAGTGCGTAGCTGCTTGCAGACCAGCGTCGTCTCAGCGTCCGGATTGCGGATCCGATGGCCTTCGTCCAGCACCACGTAGTCCCATTCTCTTGTCAGGAACAGGCTCTGATACTGTCGAACGTTCTCGTAAGTACTCACGACAACGCCACCTTCAGTCGGGGTGTCTTCTCTTAACATGTGATAATTTATATCCTCCTCGTGGTCTTCTTCAAAGCGAAACACGTCCTCTATCAGCTGTTCATAGCACTCACTTGAGAAGGACGTACTCACACCTGTTCCGGAAGCATGTAGCAGCACTACGCGCATCCATGGCGCCCATTTGTGCAGCTCTCTTACCCACTGTAGCAATACTGACGCTGGACAGAGTAACAGCACTGTCCGTAGTCTTCTAGCGCCATGTAGACAGCCCAGAAATGACGCTAGCTGTACTGTTTTTCCTAGTCCCATGTCGTCTCCTAGGATTCCTCCAACGCCTCGTTCGTGAAGCTTGTGTAGCCACTCGAGACACTCTCGTTGATGCGGTAGTAACTGAGTTAGGACGTAACTCGACACCAAGAGACCTGATGACGTCTCCGTGACGTCCCACGGAGAGTAAAACTTGGGTCCAGTGACAAATTTCTCGTCTTTTTCGTCATCTTGTCCAGTTTTCGTTTCTTCTTCTTCAACGTAGTCCTCAGGTTTTGGATTATTGTAGAATGTTTTCCTATATTCGTCAATGGAATCTCTAAATTCTCGACGTAGCTCATGCAGTCGACGTCTGTAAAGATCCAGACTGCCGTCATCTGCCCACGTGGCTGCTGCGGCCTTCCTGTCTTGCTTCGATCTCTTCTTAGAGGGCGTGGAGATAGTGTTCTGCTCGTCTGATTCTATGTCTGATTCCTTTGTTTTCCGGGTATTGTTGCGGTCGTCTCCGCGTACTAACCGTCGTCTCTTAGCTGGGTGCTTCTTGTGCTTCTTGTGTTTGGTTTTATTCTCGTTGGAACGTGGAGAATAGTCGGAATCGTCGTCATTACTCGAGGATGGAGAGAAGTCACTGGCGTCAGAAGCTTCTGCTCCATCGTCTGCGAGAGGTGACGGAGACGGAGTTACATAAATGGATAGAGTAGACGATGGTGCAGGTGGACAAGGTGGTGGTGTGGATGGAGATGATCTGGAGGCGTTGCTAGCGGCGAGAGAAGGTGGTGGAGGCATCACACCGATGTATATACAAGAATGATAGGACTGAGGACGTTGTCTTTCAGTTGAAGAGCACTCATGGGTTGAAACCTAAACTTGATTTAATTAAGGTGAGCTGTGCTAATTAAACGTATTTCGGATAAGTGGAATCTCGGTGGTCGCAATAAGGGATTTGACAGATGGATACACTATACCTCCTTAGGCAGTTACGGTACATGAAACGGATCGTCTATGGCTACGCCTGCTTATCAAAAATGCTGTTGACTAGTGGATATACATAACGACAATGCTGTCTACAGGAATGGCGTGAATCGACAACTGTGATGACACTCTTAGTTCATAACGACAATGATGTTGACAAGAACGGCGTCCTAAAAAAGGGCTGAACGCCCCAGAAGCGCCTCCAGCGCCAACTAGAGTAGCAAGTACATGTAGCAGAGACTCACTTTGCTTTTGCCAAGAAATGATCTTAGGCATACTTTTAGGGAGCATCGCCGGCTCCCCTTTCCGTGCCTTCATTCTGCAGACACTACAGGCACCAGATTGAGCAGTTTGCTCCCAACACGGGGTACTATGGCGAATACGTCGGTTCGTATGCGGCTTCTTCTTATTATTTTCTACTGTATTCATATGGAAGAACTCATACTCACTTGATATGCCTCCTTACAACTTTATCATACACTCAGAAAGTTGCCATTTTTGAATGTATCCTCTCTGATTCCGCCAATGACGCTTAGAATTAAGCTTTTACCGTTTGATAACCAGTCTCTCAATTCTTAATATTATGGATTGTACTATAAATATTATCGAGGGCTGCTGCTGCAGCTTCGACAGTGCCGGTGCTACGGCTGCGAAGAAGGCGCTGCAGATGGAACGGCAGAGAAACCCCAAGCCTTCGATATATAATACAACAATTGGTCTTGCCAAATCTCAGCTTCGCTGCTGGAGGCCTAATAAGTGACTTGTCAGAAATTCAGATTTCCGTTGTTTTGACTAAAATTACCATCATCACTTTTTAATCCAGAGTTGTTAGGGTGATCTGATGCAATATCATTGTTCCTCAAACGTACAAATTGACCCGAGTCCCGTACCTGGCTTTTGACCGACTTGATTGCGCAGCAGAATCAATTAGCCTCCAGAACCATGAGGAAATGCACAATGCTAGTAAAATATAAGAGATGTAGTACTAGTAAGCGTCGTCCTCTGCAGACCCAAAAAGATAACATACACGATCATACAAGTATCTCTTCTCTGTACTGAATACAGTATAATCGAAGTAAGTATTCTACAGCAGGGCTCGGAAAATACCGTAAGGTATTGTACGGCTTTCAACCGCAGTCCGTAATAAGTTATTCCATATACGCAGAGACAATAGTTAATTATTTAGAAATACCCAATGTATTGATTTCCAGGAAAGCCAATTGTACCTACATTTGCTGGAACATGTCGTCACGTCCCAGTACGACCGATTGGCTCGCAGAAACATCAGCATCTCGAAATTGACCGGCAGGAGAGACGCTCGCTGTGGAGAAAGCACCAGTTTCGCCTTCGAGAAGAGCCGCTCACAGCGATTGCTGGTGGGTGGCAACTCGACCAAGAGCTGACAATATTGGGACGGCCTCTGGGCGACAGCGCTCGCACGCTTCGCTCTCAACACCGCCGTTGCAAAGTCTTGATCCTCCTCGGTCTTCTCCTCCCCGTTTTCGGCGCCATTCTTGCGCTTCTTTCCCGTGAGGCCTGGGCTGGCCGTTACCTCGAAGCGTTTGATGGCCTTGCGCTCACTCGTCGTCAGACGACCAGTTTCTCCGTTAATGACCTGCATTAAACATAATATTAAAATCAGTATTTGTAGACACTATTCATATAAAAATACAATAAAAACACAATACCTTCACGGTAGCAGCCTCAAAAACTGGAGAATGAACGATGGATGCCGTTACTCCCAGCTTGGATGTCAGTGATGGGAAGCGCTGCAAAACTGAGTCGAAGAGTACGCGAACATCGGCTAGCGACAGGTCTTCAGATTGTAGCTTGATTGTGACGCTATGAAAAACCTGTAGATCGCCTAGAAGCGCTCCGATCTTACGATGCATGGCTGCCTTTGGAATAAGGTCCAACACAGCGTCCACTTGCTTGATCTCATCGCGGATACGCACGTAGAGCGCCACCATGTCGTACGTAGAGCTCCAGCGAGTCGCGTTGGGCCTCAATGGAGCCAGGGGTGTGTGCTCGCGTAGAGCGGCGCGATTGTTTACCGTGCGCAGCGCGGCCATCAGCACGCTCACCGCGTCCACCGTCGTCTTGTGCTCCTCCAGGTATGAGTTCACAGCGAGATTAAACCGGTACGATGCGCAGCCAATCAGAGGAACGCCGAGATATGTCGCAGCTGCTTGGTTCGTGGTGCAATTATCGCCGATCAGAAAAGCCAGGCTCGATTCGGATTGGTGAAAAATCGACAGGATATTACGCATAAAAGCGCAATGTGATTGGGCCGTTAGATCTCCTTCTTCCACTGGTGCAATTGCCAGAAGAGTCTGTTTGAGCTGTTTGTCGTGCCAGAAAACGGCGAACAGAGCCACGTAAAGCTCCAAAAAGCACGTCCAGCCATCAAACATGATCCCAAATGGCCCGTTTAGCTCGGCGCTGATCTTGGTCTCAACAGCAGCCACTACCTTGCCGATGTAGACCTTGAGCGTCTTCGATCAGATAGGCTTGAGCTTTGACATGCTGCGAGTGAGTGGATCGTCGACCTCACTAAGAGGCATGTTGCGGTCGACGACCCACTCAATCCAGCTGTACATGTTGAAAGCCGTTGGGTTGACGAACCCACAGACTGTCAGTGAGCCAGCCTGTCTGCGCTGGTGTGCGTCGTAATCGGCGACGTAGCCAGGGTGCTTGTCCTTGAGGTGGCCAACCAAATTGGCGTAGCCACTTGAGGGTAGCTGCTTACGCCGCGTGCCACAGTAGTTGCAGGTAAAGTAGTGTTCGGCGTCAGCCACGTAGAAAAACCGGCATAGCTCGCGGTTGGAGACGGAGGTCATGCTTGAGCTTCTTGTACTTGATAAACAAAAGGAAAATAAGATATCTAGATAGAGAAGTTTGCATGGTGTGCTCTGCGAAGGTAGTGTTTTGTGCGTGTACTGTGGGCCATCCAAACGTTTGCCTTGTGCGGCTGTGCGGTTAAGCGAACCGGTCCGGTTAATAGTATACTGGCCAGTCAGTAGTAATAACTTTTAATAATTTCAATAATACTGCTCAGTATCAGTTTGCAATAGTTAATAATTAAATACTTTCAATACGAATAGTATTGGTACGGAATTATTTTTTTTCCGAGCACTGTTCTACAGGCCTGGGCTAACACATCCATAACGATCACAAAGCCAGTGTTCGTCGAAGGAACTCATTTCACAATTTGCTTCGCTTCGCTGCAGACCAAAGAGAAAAGAAATCCACACGATGCGTGTCTATTTCATCGTTCTCCTCGTTGTGGTTACCCTCGTGGCGAGTACCGGCGCTCTCCCAACGCTCAAGGACTCGAGGCGAGCCATTCCTATCACTTCGATTGGCGATCTCCGATCAAGAACTGCAAACGAAAATAGAGGCACCAATCGCTCCCTTCGGAAGGAAGAGTAAGTGGACGAAAGCGTTGAGGAGCTGATGAGCACGTCTCAGTTTTCATCTGTAGAGAAGGTACTGGAACGTGTGCCTTCGAGTGAGAAGAATGTGATTTTGGAAGGCCTTAAGCATCTCTCTTCGGATGACACGGCGGCAATGCTGAAGAATTTGGCGTCTTTGGAGAGGCTGGAAGTAACATTGAATACAGGGAAGGT